CGCCGCGCGCATCCCTCGCCGCCGCCGCGGCCTCAGCAGGCAGCGGCGGCGGCGGCGGCGGCGGCGGCGCGGGCACGCCTGCTGAGGCCGCGGCGAGCGCCAACTCTGAGAAGTTCGCCAAGTCTGGGTTGTGCAGGTGCAGGTGCAGCATAAGGCAGCAGATCATGAGGCCTGTGCGGCCCTTGCCCGCCTTGCAGTGCACGACGCACACGTTCTCCGGGTGCGCCTCCAGCCAGGCGGCGGCCTCTGAGCAGAAGAGCTGAGCCATTGCCAGGGGAGGAACCTGCGGGCCAAGGAGGCGGGGGAGTGAGCAGAGGCAGAGGCAGGGCTCAGCACGGCGACAGGGGGGGTGGCGTCAATGCTGGCGGGCCCGTATCGCGGAGCAGCAACCGCAGCAGCAGTCAGGGCTCCGAGCAACGAACCGGCTCAGAGGCTCCCTGCGGCGCTCGCCCCAACGACCAAGGGCTGCGCCCATCCCACTGTCCCCTTGCCCCACGGCCGCCCCTCGTCGCTGGCTACCCCCTTGGCCCCCTTGAACAAATAAACCCTGTGTGAGCGGGATGCGACCTGACCTGGTGGTCGTCGAACGCGAAGCGGCCCTGCACCACGGGGGCGTCTATCTTGGAGGGGTCGTACAGCCGCTCGCTGCAGAGGTTCCAGACCTTGCAGCGGCCGCCGTGGAAGCGCGTGAGGAAGCGCGCCGTCTCGGCGAGCGGGTTGCGGTAGAGGCCTGCGGCGGGCGGTGCGCGGCGGCGGCGAGGTGGTTTGGTGTGCTCATGTGTGCGCGCATGCCGGCATGCGCGGGGACGGCGGTGAGGTCTGGGGTGCGTTTTGCGGGTGGGACGACGCGCATGGGGCAAGGGGCGCCGGTGCTGACGCTGCGCGGCGCCTGCTTGGCCTCACCCTCGCTGCCTGTTGCGGGGAGGCCCATCGCCACGAGCCGCGGCGCGATGTACGCCAGGTCCAGGTCGAAGCCATGGCTCTCGAAACGCTTCTTCTGGCCGCTGACAAGCCCTGCACGGGGGGCGGGCGCGGCGGCCGCCACGGGGGCGTGTGGCGCCATGCAAGCGTGCGGCAGTGGCCCGGAACGCGCGGCGGCCAGGCGGCGCCCCAGGAGGCTCCACGGGTGCGCACTGCTGTAAATTTTCCTCTGCCAGAAACCGAGACTCACTGCGGACGACCTGAGCCATTCCCCGCACGCGGGGCCGATGCTGATGCTGAGACCGAGCTGGGAGCCCGCGCCTCTCGGCTGGTGCTAGCGGATCATATATTCGCAGCTGGTCCCGAGGCTGACTTCCGTGTTTGTCTGACCCGTGAGGGCGTGTGGGCGCTGTTTCGCAGGGTGCCCGTGCACGATCCTTGAAGCACGTTGCAGGAGTGGTGGGCCGACAGACAAGATGCTAACGCTGACGGAAAACCACAACGAATACTGCCTGACTAAAGCCTGCAGCCCAATACACCGACCGAGGTTTGCCTGGTGTGTGCGTCGTCGGGGCGCGAATTCGCCTGTGCAGCTCCCAAGTGGCCCTGACGGAGGGTTTCGCCGCCGCCCCCCTAAATTGGCGCTCACAAACCCGCATCATGTGGCCCAGAGGCGTCAAGGAGCCAGCCGTAACCGCCACGCTGCCCTGTCTGCCGTGGCTGACGCGGCGGCACCACGGTACCCATGGGGTGCATTACGTCGTCGTCGGCGTCCGAAAGCAAGAGATTGGTTCAAATGAAAGCGCATGCTGCTGCCAATCTTCCAAATCAATTGATTCACTCGTCAATCCCCGTCTCAAGCCCCGCGCGTGCAAAGAAAAGCCGCGTCGCTGTCTGCCAACAGGGCCGCTCATGTGGGCGCCCCGTGCTGTCACTTGGCGCCCGCCGCCGAAAACACGGCCGCCGTCAGCCGCCGCGCCGCCTCCCGCGCCTCACCCTCCTCCCCACCGGCCCCGGCGCCGCCGCCAGCGCCCGCGCCGGCGCCCGCGCCGCCCGCTGCCGAAAACACGGCCGCCGTCAGCCGCCGCGCCGCCTCCCGCGCCTCACCCTCCTCCCCACCCGGCCCCGCGCCCGCGGCCGCGGCAGCGCTTCCGCCCGCGCCCGCGCCCCCCGCCGCCGAAAACACCGCCGCCGTCAGCCGCCGCGCCGCTTCCCGCGCCTCGTCCTCCTCCCCACCCGGCCCAGCTCCGGCTGCCGCGCCAACTCCTCCCACTGCCGCCGCCGCCGCCGCCTCCGTGCCCTCCTCCCCCCGCGGCCCCTCGGCCGGCGCCGCCGCCGTGGGCTTGGGAGCAGCCTTCTCTGGCACAGTGTACTCCCCAGGCGCGTCAAACACGAGCTCAGCTGTCTCTGTGCGCACCACCCTGAAGCCGCGGATAAGCTCCTCCTCCTTCGCATCCGAAAACTGCGGCGTGGCGGGGCGCGGCGGGGCGGGGCGGGGTGCAGCGGTCACGGTGCGGCCTCGGGACCAGGGGCCGGCGGGCCCGGCGGGACGAGCGGGGGCGCGGGGGCCGCCGGGCCCGCGGCCGCGCGG